TTAGGGTTCCATGGTTTGGGGTTTGGGGTTTAGGGTCTAGGGTTTAGGGTTCCATGGTTTGGGGTTTGGGGTTCAGGGTTTGGGGTTTAGGGTTCCATGGTTTGGGGTTTGGGGTTCAGGGTTCAGGGTTTAGGGCTCCATGGTTTGGGGTTCAGGGTTTGGGGTTTAGGGTCCAGGGCTTAGGGTTCCATGGTTTGGGGTTTGGGGTTCAGGGTTTGGGGTCTGGGGTTTAGGGTTCCATGGTTTGGGGTTTGGGGTTCAGGGTTTAGGGTCTAGGGTTTAGGGTTCAGTGGTTTGGGGTTCAGGGTTTGGGGTTTAAGGTTTAGGGTTTAGGGTTCAATGGTTCGGGGTTCAGGGTTCAGGGGTTTTTTTTAAGGGCCCTTTTGATGTCTGCGCGAAGCATCCGTCAAGCCCTTGCGGGCAAGCAAAGGTGGGCCAGTTTCTCAGCCCCCTGTTACGTTAACCCTTTCTCACTCGCACTCGTGACCCGGTCCATGAAGACTCCCCTGCACTCCATCCTCCCCTTGCTCGACCTCCATCGTCTCTCGCCCCTCCATCTGCACTTTCTCCATTGCTTCCACTTGTGCGGTGGCTTCCATGAGATCCCAAGCTTGTTCGCCCCACATCATACGGACGTACTCCTCACTGATCTCTCCACGTTGGTACCGGTAGTACTGGGGCAGGTAGGAAGCGAAGTCAAGCTCATGCGGCACGCCACGGTTCTCCAGGCCCCCCGGTTCAGTCGGCTGCCCAGCTGATCCCGTTGTGCTTGCATCCGGAGGGGGTACCGAACACATCCCTGCAGGCTGAGCCACCGTCGTTGCCGCCGAACTCGCCGACTCCCCGTCCTCCACGATCTTGACGGACTTGACTTCGACCGACCCCGCATGAACCGAAAGGGGCACCTTCAGTTTCTTCTCAACTCCACCTTCACCATCAGCTGGGCCGACTTGGATCTCCAGGTGCTTGTTAGGGTTCAGGGTTTAGGGTTTATGGTTCAGGGTTTAGGGTTCAGGGTTTAGGTTTAGGGTTTAGAGTTCAGGGTTTAGGGTTTAGGGTTCAAGAAACTCCAAACTTGGAGGCAGCACTCTCGGGTGTACTGTAGGGGACTTCATAATTAGAGTAGGGTTTTAGGGGGTTCCTTTAGTATAACTATAGCATAATACACCCCCAAACTTAAGGCCCCCAATAGTACTTTTGGAGCCTCTACGGCATGAAAATGGCAGAGGGATGCTCAGTTGGGCCTCTGTTATATTGCATCAAATTGTATTAGATATCTTTGATTATATAACTGTAAGTGAAACTGTATTTCTATGTCATATTATACTCTACTATATTTGCAATGTTTTCTTGCTGTGTTACATTGTTGGAAGCTGTGGCAAGCCCTGAGCATGTTGAAGTTCAAGCTCTGAAACGACCGCAACCCAGGAACGGCATGTAAGTACACAAGGATTGCCGTTTCAGGGCGTACCGGTTTAAGCGAGCAAAACCTTTGAAGTATCGTCTGTCTACGAACCTTGGTCCATAAACCCTAAACCCTAAACCCTAAACCCTAAACCCTATGCGCACTCCGCATCTATCCAGCCGTTCAGACGGGGCCCAAGAGGATGATTTTGGAAAAGCTGTTGGAGGGCCGTGCAGGGGTTTTGGATTCAGGGTTTAGGATAAAAAGCCCTATACCCTAAACCCTAAACATGCTACAGATGGACAAGGAGAGAGGACATGCTGCTGAGTATTGAGGCTCTGTCGTCTTAATCGAAGGATCCTGGCGCAAAAAATCGCCTAGTTTAGAGGCCATAATAATTAGAATAGGGTTTTGGGGGCCGATTATAGTATAATCATAATAAGGAGCCCCCAAAAGTAGTATAGGTAATGATTTGGGCCCCTATTCTAGTTCTCGGAAACCAACATCTAAACCGAAAGCTCTATCGCCTTGGGAGCGGGCGACCCGAAACAGGGCCTCTCTTCGTTCCCTTTCCTTCTCAGCCTCTTTTTGAGCCTGACAGGGCTGAGCTATCTTGCACCGGGTTGTGATCCGATAGGGTTCGTTTAGGGCTTAGGGTTTAGGGTTGAGGGTTTAGGGTTTAGGGTTTAGGGTTTAGGGTTTAGGGCTTTGGGCTTCAAGTTCCAAGGAGTCTGTGTTTAGGTCTTCGTTTAAAGCTCTTGTGCTCTGGTTTAACGTGAGGGCTAGGGGCTTTTGGGCTTTTGCGGTTTCAATCGTGGCGCTGCGCTGTTCAAGAACCCTAAACCCTAAACCCCAAACCCTAAAACCCTAAAATCCTCAATCCCTACACCCTGAACCCCTAAACCAGGAAACCCGAAACCCTAAAGCTCTGAACCCTAAACCCCTAAACCCCTAAACCCTAAACCCTAAACCCCTAAACCCTAAACCCTAAGAAAAAACTAAAGCTCTGAACCCTAAACCCCTAAACCCCTAAACCCTAAATCCCTAAACCCTGAGAAAAACCTAAAAGCTCTGAACCCTAAACCCTAAACCCTAAACCCCTAAACCCTAAACCCCTAAACCTAAACCCCTAAACCCCTAAACCCTAAACCCCTTTTGTCTTAAGGCCCTTTGCCCCTAAAGCCTCCATGCCCTGAGCCCCCGAAAGCTCGCACGTCGAAGGTTCCCCCGGCCCTGTCCCGAACCCATGGAAGGGCCCATGAAGTCGCGCAACCCCAAGCGGAGGCCTGAAATCCCGAAAGGGTTTAGGGTTTAGGGTTTAGGGTTTAGGGTTTAGGGTTTAGGGTTTAGGGTTAGGGTTTAGGGTTTAGGGTTTAGGGTTTGAGAACCGAAAGACAGTGGCCAGAGGCCCAACACACAACCGGCAAGAGACGAGTACTACCCAACATGCACTTCAAGTGGCGCAGGAAGCACGGCCGTGAGCCAACAACTTTCGGCTTAGGGGGTTTAGGGTTTATGGTTTAGGTTGTAGGGTTTAGGCTTAGGGTTTAGGGTTTAGGGTAAATTAGGGTGTAACGTCAAGAGCTTGCCAATTAGTTTAGGACCCTTTGCCTTTGTTTTGAAGCGGGTTACATGGAAATACCAGTCTATTCGGACTTCAAGTTAAGGGTATACGACTGCTAGTCATTCAAACATTCAGCACCCCAGAGTTAAACTCTCGTCTCGATTGAAAACTCTAGATTCTGTACCCTAAACGCTAAACCCTAAACCCTAAACCCTAAACCCTAAACCCTAAACCCTAAACCCTAAACCCTAAACCGTGGGTCCAAGAGCTCAGTCTGCACCAAAAGGCCCAGGATCCCCCATTCGAAGCCATGAACGACCGGCCACCCGAAAGCACCATCCTGGCCTCCTTGTCGGCCCTGCTTTGACGCTTCTTTTGAGCTTTCCTGAGCTGTCTAAGAGGTTCGAGCTTCCATGATTTTTTGGGGTTCAGGGCCTTAAGTCACTCACGGTTTAGGGTTTAGGGTTTAGGGTTTAGGGTTTAGGGTTTAGGGCGGCTTCAAACTACTAGTATGGGAAATTCACGTCGTTGCGGGCTTTGGGTGTTTGTGGATCTGCCAGCTGAAGCCTTCTGCGGAACCCATCCTCCTACCGAGCTTTTGACAACCACCCATTTGGAGATACCTCGTGGCAGTCAAAGCTCCGGCCCAAAACCCACGGCCACAAATGGAGGCCCGAAACCCTGACTCCCTCGAGCACTTAAAACCCTAAGCCTTCAAATCTTAACCCTAAAGCCCGACCAACAAAGTGCAGAAGCCTAGCTATTTGAGGATCACCTTAGCTAAACGCCCGTGTTTTCCAACAAAAAACCCTCACACCTCAACCAAGAACGAAAGCAAAAACAAACCCTAAACCCTAAATAACTCTAAACCCTGCAAGCCCTAAACCCTAGCAGGCAAAGCAAAAAAGAGAGAAAGAGCCCAGGAATCCTAAACCCTAAATAACCCTAAACCCTAAACCCGCAAAACCTAAAAGAGAGAAAGAAAGCCCACGATCTCCCCTAAACCCTAAACCCTAACAAGCAAAACAATGAACAAAAAAAAGGAGTGCTAGGAGCTGTAATTTTTTGAAGATTTTTGACAAAAAAACAGAGAACCCAGGAGCTCCCCTAAACCCTTAACCCTAAACCCTAACAAGCAAAACAATGAACAACAAAAAAGAAAGAGAGCGCCCAGGAGCCTTAAATAACCCTAAATAACCCTAAATAGTTATAAACCCTAAATAACCCTAAACCAACAAAGAGAAAGAGGGCCCAGGAGCTCCCCTAAACCCTAAACCCTAAACCCTAAACCCAAGAGAGCCCAGGAGCTCCTTCTTCCGCCGGGCCCTTTCCGCCTCGTCGTCCTCCGCGCTCGGCTCCTCGGAAGCCTCGCGGTACGTGGGGTTAGGGTTAAGGGTATAGGGTTTAGGGTTTAGGGTAAGGGTTTAGGGTTTGGGTTTAGGGTTTAGGGTTTAGGGTTTAGGGTTTAGGGTTTAGGGTTTAGGGTTTAGGGCTTGAGGGTTTAAGGTATATAAGGGTTTAGGGTTTATAAGGTATAGGGTTGAGGGTTTAAGGTATATAGGGCTTATAAGGTATAGGGTTGAGGGTTTAAGGTAAGGGTTTAGGGTTTAGGGCTTAGTGCTTAGGGTTTAGGCTTTAGGGTTTAGTGCTTAGGGTTTAGGGTTTTAGGGTTTAGGGTTTAGGGTTTATGGCTTTAGGGTTTTAGGGTTTGGGGTTTAGGGGGGTTTTGGGATTTTTTTATGCACCTGTTTTCCAATCCGCTGAATGTCTCAGAAATTCACTCAGAAATCCCCATAGGGAAGGTGGTCCGAAAGAAATGTTGCCTTCCAGTAAAAGTAACTTGGGGTTTTGGGTTTAGGATGTTGCGTTCAGGGTTTAGGGTTCAGGGTTGGGGATGTTGGGCTTTGGACTTAGGGCCTATGGGCTGGGAGCCTTAATCATGAGAACAGATTCCTTTCAACTGTTGATTCTACAAGGGTTACCATAAGAGGTTTAGGATTTTAGGGGGCCTACATGAGACTGCTGGGTTACTTATCCCTACCCAAGCCTCGGTCTGATGGTCTGTGTCGGATTTTGTTTGTAAGCTTGTTTTTTACGGGGTTTATTTACGGTTGTTATGGGGTTTTCGAGGGTTGTTATAGGGGTAATGCGTTCAGTGATTTACGGGGTTTTGCAGGGATATGAACTGTCTCAACATTCTTTATGAGGCTTACGTAAGGCCCCCATGCGTGCCATGTGGGGATGCTTTTGGGACTCATGAGCCTTTATGAAGTCTTCACTAGTTGACAGGGCTTAAAGGGTTATTTAGGCTTGGAGTTTTTGCTGTGGGGTTTATTGCTTGTGCAATACGGTGCTGTCTGCACGGACTGTGGGGCAACAGCCGTGAAAATCCTCTAAAGCCTGAACCCCTAAACCCCTAAACCCTAAACCCTAAACCTAAACCCCCAAACCCCTAAA